CAATGAGTTCGTATTCGATTTGTTCGATAAGTAAATGAGACGAACGTGAACAAATTTTTTTCGTTCGGTTAGTTAAACGAACCAAACACGAACAGTGATGCGTTTGTTCGTGTTCGAATCGTTATTGTTCGAAATATCAAATAATTTAAAATAATTATATACAAAAAAATTTATGATATTTTAAAAAATTAAATTTTATGAATTATAATAAAATAATAATAATAATATATTAATATACTATATTAGTAATATACTAATATAGATATTATATATTTTTATAATATAAGTTATATAACTAATATAATATATTGCTTATATATATATTAATGTTAGGGATGTCAAATTGGCTAGTTGTTCGCGAACAGCTCGTGTCCGACTTGTTCGTTAAGAAACGAACACGAATAATGACTTCACGAATAATTTCAAAAATGAGTTTATTTCAAACGAACCGAACACAAACACAAGTTCTGTTCGTTCGTGTTTGGTTTGTTTACACCCCTAATTTTTAGTTGCTCTGTATCTAACCGCCTTAATTTGTTCAATTTTGAAGACATTATTATTCCATATAATTATAATTATAATTATATCATTAGTAATAATATATAAGCTACTTAACTTCTAATAACGCCAGTTACGCCATGCATCAATGGCGCATGTTTTTGAGGACTAATTTCATGAAAGACCACATGGGGTTTATGTCCTATAACTTGTTTGTTTGCAATTAGTTTCCTCTGCTATGTGCTATGTGCTATATTTTTCCTTCAAATAAGTCAACAGATTAGACTAATTAATTTCTTGATTTTGCATGTAATTTAGCCCCATGCATGCATGTGATGGTGAAAGAGGCTTTTACAAAATGCTTAAGCTAATTATGTTCACTAAAAAATGAATATTGTGGCTTTATCTCTCCTAAGTAGAAAGCTTTAACTTTAGCTATAGAGACAAGTCCTTATAGTTAAATACTAATAATAATAAATGTAAAAAGTTTTATTAATAATAATAATAATAATAATAATAATAAATGTAAAAGCTTAATATTGTGGCTTTATCTCTCCTAAGTAGAAAGCTTTAACTTTTGCTATAGAGACAAGTCCTTATAGATTACTGTCTGTCAGGTGTGTGGACTCTCCATGTTCCGGTGGGACCCTCGGTGAAGCTGATCCGTGACGAGGGCGTCACGTGATTTGGTGGAGGAGAATGTCACGGACAAATAGTCCCACATCGGCTAGGTGTAGGGCCGAAAAGCAGTATTTAAGTCTTGGACTGCCCATCGCCCACAAGTGTTTTTTTGGACAGATTACTGCCTGTCAGGTGTGTGGACTCTCCATGTTTCAATGGGACCCTCGGTGGAGCTGATCCGTGACGAGGGCGTCACGTGATTTGGTGGAGAAGAATGTCATGGACAAATAGTCACACATCGTCTAGGTGTAGGGCCAAAAAGCAGTATTTAAGTCCTGGACTGCCCACCACCCACAAGGGCTCTTTTGGGATGTGACATTTAGCTTCTAAGATTAGATAACGTGTTTTCTCCTATGAAAAAGTTCATTGTGCAAAGCTTGCTTGAGCTTTCACAAGTTAATTATAAAAATAGAATTGTTTTGTTTAAATACTAATTATTTATTCTCATGTGTATTATATTAAATCATACAATAAGATTCATCGTAGCTAAAGATAAAAGGCGACATTTCTTTTAGCGTAAGATGCAAATGACATTATTCTTAAACTTTTCTAAAAGAAATAATAGTTGAGTGAAAGAATTGAAGCTTAAACTTAAGATCTCTTTGATGGAAATGGAGATATAAGCCATAAGGCTAGAGTTTGGTTCATGTGTAAAGAGGATTTTGTGATCTATATATATTTGTATCTTAACAACATAGGGTTTATTTAACAATAGTATATTATTTTTATAATATATTTTGTAGTTTAGGACTGTTTGGGATCATTTTTTTATTTTTTTTATTTAATTTTGTTTATGTTTCGATTTGAAATGAAATATGTTTGGTTATTTTATTAAAGTATGATTGCTTTATGATTGCTTCTAAAAATACACCTAAAATTTTTTTGAAGTTTTTTTTAAAAAAATATATTAATTTATTTTTAGAAATAAAAAATAAAACATATCAATAACATGTTAAATAAATATATTTAAATAAAAATAAAAATAAAACAAAATTGATCCCTAAACAAGCCCTTAATTAATGCAAAAATAAATAAATAAATAAAATAAAATTCATAATGAGAAGTCTTATGTTACATGTGAAGGGGTGCTACTCTTTTGAATAATATGACATTATCTCATCACCATCAATGAAATAAAACTAAAGTGAATGAATTTTTCTTATTTTACTGAAATTATTAATATTTCTATTAAGATTTTGAGCAAAATTATAAATTTAAAATTAATGAACATAATATGTAAAACCCAAACATATAATCTCTATATCAGAAGCCAAGCCCAATTTTTTAACTTTTTTCCTTTCATGAGAAAAGAAAATTTAAACCTTTGTTTTCCTTTTTCTTACAACTATTATATATATTTGATGAGTGTTATTTTTAAAAAATTTAATTGACTGTAATGCTTCAATAATTTATAATAATAAAAATTATTAATTAAAAAAATAGAACAAAATTATATATTAATTTATATTTAAATGATGTTTTAACATAAATAATAATATTTAATCTCACCGCAATCCTTAACATTCTACGGTTGCCAATGATGTTTTAATATAAACAATAATATTTAAATCTCACTGCAATCCTTAACATTCTACGGTTGCGTAGCTATGGTTGTCAAAACTACTCTTTATTCGCGAACAGCTCGTTTTCAGCTCACTAAGCAAACATGCCGAACACGAACGCATAAACAAACCGTACACGAACATTGATATTTATGAATTAACCTTTTGGTTTTTTTTTTTTTAACTACTAAAGCGATGTATTTACATGTCCCACGATCTAGCTATCAAGGATTTGATAAAAACAAAAAAATATGTGTTAGGATTATACCATGAATTTTGATATTTAAGTGAGAATTTGAAAATTGGATGAAAGAAGGTTATTGATGTGTAAATAGCAAATTTGGGGTGGTCTTTATGTAATTACTCCTACAAAATATTTTTTTCCAACCCGAACCCCACATCCTTAAAAAGTCCGAAATTTGCATCATCAAATTAGTCAAACGTATCTCCTAGGAATCATTTGAATATTGCATTATTTCATGTTAGAAATATATTAAAAGGAAAGAAATTTTAATTTTTTTTTCTTAAATGTCAACGTGCATAATATTCAAATCTTTATTATTGTACAAAATATTCTTTTTTTATCATAGATTTATAGTGTTAGAAACAGTGAAACCCGGTCCACTATGTTTGGGTGGTTACTTTGCTTTGAAGAGTCGCATCTCTTCACAAATAACCACTCCCGCTTCGCTTCCTCATGTTCGTGATAAAAGACTTTGAATGACTCTCCCAGAAATAGAAGTAGTCACGGTGTTCTTTTTCGGGCTTCCTCGGGATAGAAGGAAGAGAAGTGCAAGAGGTAGATCCTTGCAGTGAAGGAAGAAGAAAGAAGAAGAAGAAGATTGTTCTCCCTCGGCTTCTTCTTGGTGGCTTGTGGCTGAAGAGAAATTGGATTTATTTCTCTTGTAAGTTTATCTTCTTTAATTTATCTCGATGTAGAGTTTTTTCGGTGTATCCCGGTGTAGAGAGAGAAGAAAAGAGAGCAACGAAGTGAGATTCCTCTTGTAAGTCGAGGTGATCGACTGGTGTAAAATCATCAAGTGGAAAAATCCTCTGCAACTCCGTGGACATAGGCAATTTGCCGAATCACGTAAACTTGTGTGTTCCGTTGTGTTGTTCTTTTCTGGTTTGATTTTTCTCGTTCTATTTTTCACTTCGTCGATCATTCTCCTGTTTGATTTATATATATACCACATAAACTGTTATATCTAGATCTCGCAACAACAACATATAGCACCCTAAGTATAATAAATGTAAACATCAAACTTTAGGTGTTCAATATTTATATACATAGGAATCGTGATGCATGTGTATTTCTCTCATATATATATATATATATATAAGGCCTTTACATGAATACTAAGCAATTCTTATGTATTTGCATACCTAATATCTAATTTAATTTGAAAGATTTACATACATCCCACATAATTCCTATGTATTTACATACCAGACACCTAAACTTCAATTTTTACATATACGACACCCTACCTATGCATGAAAACATATATTTCACTTTTTAAAAAGTTAAAATAACTATATTTTTAAAGTGATATGAAAGATTTGAGTGGCATAAACGTAAAAAAGTGAAGTTTATATACGAGATATGTAAATACATAAGAATTAGGTGATATGCATGTAAATGCCCTTTTAATTTTTACATTTTTACATTTAACACTCAATTAAATCCTTGTCATAAAACATAAAAAAAAACTACTATCATCAACTCTCAAAAGTGAGATACAAATACAACTTTTCAACCACAAGTACAATGTCATAAACTAAAAAATCAAAATCTAGGGAGATATTATTGTGTACGGACACCGCATGCATCTCTGCATGCGCTGTCCGATCATGACCGTAGATCACGGTGATCTACAGTCCAGTCATGATATATTTCAGTTTTTTTTTTTTTAAAAAAAATTTAGGTGGGGCCCATCGAAATACATCATGACCGTAGATCACCTGATTTACGGTCAGGATCGGACACCATCTGTCCGTATGGAATAATTTTTCAAATCTAGGATAGTAGGTAGTGTAGATATGTAAATACACAAGAACTATGTGGTAGATATGTAACTCTTTCATTTTCATAATGCCACCAATCATGGATGGAGGTACCAACGGCCAACTATTGTCTCATGCCTCGAGCCCTCACAGCCACCTGAAGGTTCCCCGCAGCTTATCCCGTGAACCCACCAGCTCCCTTCCTTCTCCCTCCAACCTTCCTCTCTATAAATGCTCCACCCCTCCTTCCCTCAACAGCACTCATATTAATCAACTCACTCCTCCCTAACAAATCAAAAATGAAGTCAAAAATGGCAAGCTTGTTCTCCCTCCTCTTCCTCAGCTCATCTTCTTTCTCAGCCGCGTTCGACTACGCCGACGCTCTCACGAAATCAATACTCTTCTTCGAAGGGCAGCGCTCCGGCGAGCTCCCGCCCACCCAACGTCAACAATGGCGGGGCAATTCCGGCCTCTCGGATGGGTCCTCTGCCAATGTATGGCGCTGCTTGTCTTGGGGTCTATTTGGGACAGCTTTCTGATTGTTTTGCTTTTCAGACTGTTAACACAATTAATCTGTTTGGGAATTCTTTTTCTTGTTATTTTTTATAAATTTATGTGGTAGAAAGTTATTTTTTTCAACCAAAATTATTAAAATGTGATGGTTCTAATTTTTTTAAATAAATTAAAATTATAATAGTGAATACAGCTTATCATTTTTTTTAAAGTAATTTCAGAAGCTGTCTCAAACGAAAAATTATTGTGTCTTCCCACCGCACGCATCTCCTTCTACCAAAAAGTGTATGTCAGGAGGCCCCTTT